CAAACTTGTTTTATGTTCCATTAGGGTTAGTATCTTTTGATGTATGAAATATGTGAAGGGTGACAGAGAAACTGGTTTTGAATCCATTTCAGGTTTATTCTGAACAAATTCTAAAATTGCCAGGTCATTGTAGCAATACAAATTTCAGGGTTTGAATTAATTGTGCTGATGCTTTCTTGAATATCCAGCAATCCACCAAAGAAAATCCTTTTGTTTGAGGGAAGATGCTTCGTTATATAAGGAGGCATGGAGCTATTTGATGTGAGGGACACCTTCCAAAGTATATGTTTTTAAATAGTGTTTAAAGATATGGTGGCTTTATCCTCTTCTTACCAATGGTAAGTAGGATGCGTATCTCCAGTAAAAACATGTTCATGGGAATTTCTGTTTATGTGTAAGTGACATGTAAGGACCCCTATGGTTTGGATACTCTTAAACATGCTGGTGCATACGTTTGACCAGCAAGCTCCTACTTTTGATGTGCTGCCAATCGACTTGCAAATATTATTCCAAAAATAATTATTTTCTAAGGCATTGGTAAACATGGAACCAAACTGAAATACCTACTTCAAAATAATAAAACAGTTGTAAAATGGGTTAGTATTAACTCTTGTCTATTTTGGTTGCTACATGTTTGTGCATATCTGTAAAAAGTGTGTCAATATTTGACTTGATAATTTCAGTAACACAAATAGGATGGACGCCAATATTCAGTTTTCAATTGGTTTGAAAGGCTTGCTTTCAAGCTAATGTCAGGCAGTTTGGAACTAAATTTTACCTTCATCCCCTTCCCCAGGCAATGAAGTACAGGGGGAAAGTGTGTATAGTTTGTGTTTCAAATAAGAAAGTGAGAACTAAGATGCATTTAAATGGTTAAATATAGATTTAAAAAATAAAAATCTTCTTAAGTTAGCCCACTTTTAAGATTTTTTAAACTTTTTTTTACTCAAACATTGACTGACATCCGAGAAATCTTATCATCTGAATATCAGAAGATTTGGTTCTTTGTTCCTTCTTCAGCGGCATGTGGAGATGGGCTGTAGAATTTTTGCTTGTCTCAATACTTTATGCTGAACCTTGGAAAATTACAGAGAGAAGTTAATGTTGACTGGCATAGGAAATGACAATGTAATTCTGATATCTTCTGAGGTTGAGCAAATCTTTTACTTTTCCCTGTGTAAAGAAATGAATAATACTTCCTCTTAGGTTAAATGATGAAATGTCAATTTTGTTTTCACTAAATTAATTCAAATTTACAATTCAGATTTGCATTGCATCTCAGAAGTAACCTCACTTTAAAATGATATGCTAGCTTACACAAACATAAACATGAATTTAGAACATGGCAATTTTACCTTTGAGTGTTTGACAAGTATGATTGGAGAAAACATCAGAAGCCGTTTCAAATAATGCTGATTAAAAATATTATTTGAAACTGCACCAACCGTGATAAGAGTTTTTTGATGAAGGTAGGCAGTTGATGTAGTTTATATGGATTTCCAAAAGGCATTTGATACAGTGCCACATAAGAGACTTGTAAGCAAAATAGAAGCCCACGGTCTTAAAGGGACAGTGGTATCATGGATACAAAACTGGCGGAAGACAGAAAGCAGAGAGTGATGGTGAACGGTTGTTTTTCTGACTGGAGGGAAGTGTGCAGTGGTGTCCCCCAGGGATCAGTATTGGGACCACTGCTGTTTTTGATCTATATAAATGACCTGGACTTGGGTATAGGGAGTACAGGTTCCCAGTTTGCAGATGATGCTAAGCTAGGGAAAGTAGTAAACAGTGAGGAGGATAGTAGCAAACTGCAAGAGTACATCGACAGACTGGTAAAATGGGCCGACACGTGGCAGGTGAAGTTTAATGTGGAGAAATGCTAAGGGATGCATTTGGGAGGAAGAATGAGGAGATATGAGCTATATGGTAGAATCTTAAAGGGGTTAAAGGAACAGTGAAACCTGGGGGTTCGTATCAGTAAATCTTTGAAGGTGGCAGGACAGGTAGATAAAGCTGTTTACAAATGCATACGGGATACTGGGCTTTATAAATAAGGGCATAGAATACAAAAGTCAGAAGGTTATGATGAACCTTTACAAAACACTGGTTAGGCCTCAGCTAGAGACTGTGTTCAGTTTTGGGCACCACACTTTAGGAAGCATGTCAAGGAGATTTACCAGGATAGTACCAGGAATGAGGGACTTTCAGATATCAGGCGAGGCTAGAGAAGCTAGGATTATTCTCTTTGAAGCAGAGAAGATCAAGAGGAGACTTAATAGAAGTTTTCAAAATTATGAGGAGATTTGATAGGGTGAATAAGGAGAAACTATTTCCACTGGCGGGTGGGTCGGTAACCCGAGGACACCGATTTAAAATAGTTGTTAAAAGAACAGAGGGGAGGTGAGAAGATTTTTTTTCACATGGCATGTTGTTCGGATCTGGAATGCATTGCCTGAAAGGATGGTGAAAGCCAATTCGGTAACAATTTTTAAGAGAGTAGATAATTATTTAGGGAGGACAATTTTTTTAGGGTTATGGGGAGAGCGTGGGGGAGTGGGACTGATTTGGATATTTCTTTTCAAAGAGCCGATACAGACACGAAGGGCCGAACGGCCTTCTTCAGTGCTGTTTGATTCTATGATTGTGCTTGAGGAGACTTTATAATCTGCTTAGGTTATATTTTAGTTTGATTTTATAAAATTAGTTATTTGCTAAAGTACTCTAGACTTGAGCTGAGTTTAAAAATGTTCTGATTTTCAGTGTATGTGACCTGAGAGTGTTGGAAACCAACACTAGCAAATGTTTAATTCCTTCACTTTGATGAGAATGATGAATCCAGTCTCTCCCCCACCATTATGAATCTCTCGAGTATGAATTTCTTATCTGGAGTATGTCATAAGAATATTTAATAACTTGTCAGCCTGGCACATTGATATGAGTTAATAGTGCTGGGGGTGTGCTGCAATGTCAGAAGTGCCGTCCTTTGGATGAGACATTAAACTGAGGCCCCACTTACCTGTTCAGGTTGGATGTTAAAGATCCCATGGAACTACAGTATTTGGAAAGAGAGGGGAGTTTCTCTTCGTGTCCTGGCCAAAAATCTCCACAAAATAAAGTTGGTCATTCACCTCATGGCTGTGTGGAAATTGGCTGTCACATTTGCCCACAAACCACACAGTCACTACACTTTGCAATACATCCTGTGAAGTACTTTGAAACATCCTCCCAGTGTGAAATGTGCCCTACCAAATGTAAGGGTTATTATAAAAAAATTCATATTTATGTTGCTTTAATGTTGCTATTTATAAAATGATTTTCAGTGGAAGTTGCACACATACTTCTGTTCCAAATAAGAGTTTTAAACCAGTTAAATGTCATGGACAAACTCTTTCAGGAACTGAAACTAACTGTGTTGTAAGACGGCACATGCAGCTGGATTGCGTTACATGTTTGCCGTCCGGTTGGCAGTTAGCAGTTAAGAAACTGAAAAAAACTGAAAGTGTTACATAACCTGGAGAATTACACACATCTATTGCTTATTTTCATTTTTTCTCTTAGCTTTATTTTGAACGTCAGGAAAATTCGTAAAATTCTTAAATTTATCTATGGGGGGATATTTTATGCACATAATCTATGGAAAAAGCATGCAAAGAGAAAGCGCTATTTGATCCATCAAGCTTGTTCCTTCCACACCCTTTCTGAGGATATAAATACTCCCTGAACACAAAATCTATCAAACAGTAATTCAGAATAAATGTGTGATTTGCTTTGAGGCTTTTTATGGGGCAGTGTGCAAATTGCCTACATATGTACTGCGATTCTCTGAAGCGTGTTGAGATGTTCTTGACATTATAAACAGTAAATAAAATGCGAGGATTATTATTTATTATTAATCATTTTCATTGGGAGTCTGTTTGAACACTGTCCTGAAGAACATGCAAATATTTGATACTGTAATTTTAAAGCCGTTCTCTTTCACCACTCAATTCAGTAGTTTCTTTAGATTTGCTGTTCATTCCCCTTCACATCTTATAAATCATCTTTTCTTCCATCTTTGAGAGTCTCGGTGTAAACTAGGGCCGGAGGTGTTTGTCTCACGCTAATGCATCATTGTTCATTGGTACGTACGTTCCCAAAATTCCCTACAATATTCAAACGTGCTCTCGCTTGTGATCAATTTAGCGTTGTGTATTTTATTATTTTGTGAAAAATTTACAGTCCTGATATGTGATTAGGTTTGTTTGCCTTCACGTTGACATGAGGAAACTGCTAAATGTTTTGTAGTGGAGACTGAGTAACGCATGATTTGTTTCCCTGTCCTGCTTACTCATTGTTCACCTCTTGGTTCTGATTGACATACCTCCAGCCTAGAATACTGACGGGCTTCCTGCTTCAGGGCTCCCAATATTGTCACTATTGTCATTGATGATATCCTGGCTAGAATAACGAATGGGGTTTACAGCAATTTAATTCCTTTCTCTTTCCCCCTCTCCCCAAATGCGTTGTCTAATAACTCCATGATGCAGTTATAGCAAACATTATCACTGACGAGCACAGCTGAGGTCAGGAGCACTCCGGGGAAACGGGCTTCAAACAACAACAACAACAAGAAGATTTCATTTATAGAGCGCCTTTCACGTCGGGAGGATGTCCCAAGGCACTGGACAGTTGGGTCGGGACCCGAGCATTGGGGGGAAATGGTCAGGGTGAGGGTAAGGGAAGGAGGGAGCGAGGAGGGGGTAGAGAGTTGAGAGGGGAGCTAAAGGCACGGTCGAAGAGAAAGGTCTTGAGACCGGCCTTGAAGGAGGAAAGGGAAATCAACTATGTCAACAACTTGCATGTATATAGTGCCCTTCACACGGGGCAGAGTCTCGGACCGCTTGCCCTACACTGGTGTCATTTTTTGTTGTTGTGATTTAGTACTGCTGCAATTTGTGTTTGCTGTGATTATTTGATTAATGTTTAAAATATGTTTAATTTTAAAAATTCTTATTTTTCAGTGACAGCCATAAACATGTTTGGCCAGTGGAGATGGTTACGGTTATGCCTATTCCTTCAGCTGAACATATATTTTAAGGCTGGTGAGTAAAGGAGAATTGAGTGCAGATTTTCAATTTGTGATTGTATGATACAGTTTTTGATACTGGGTAATTTTGTGATGCCCTTGCAGATATCAGAAGTCTTTATGACTTTGTTGATTTACTGTATAAATGAAACCGTACAGGACAATGTTTGATAGATCGTTTATTCATTAATTAAAATGTTTTTTTTGTTAGTTAGACGTGGGGGAGGAGGGAGAATTTGACTTGAACGATAAATTTGGTGAATAGTGGGAAGTAATGTGATGCATTCATCCAAAAATCTGCTTAAAATACCGTCCATCACTCCTGTCCTCTCCAGGCTCACTGACTCTCAGCAAATCGACTTCAAGATTCTCACCATCACCTACAAATACATTTACACCCTTGCATTTCCCTACCTTGTGGAGTCCTGTAACTTAGTGGTTAGAGCACTCGCCTCGCAAGCGAGGACCTGGGTTCAATTCCCATGCAGCACGAAACGTTAGACAAGTCTCCTTACTCCATATGCCTCTGTTTACCTAGCAGTAAGTAAGAACCCGGTTGTTAATCGATTGGCAGGTTGCTTTTCCGGGGCTAATAATCCCTTCAAAAATAAAAATAATAATATGGTAACTCAATCACCAACCGTTTGGGACACTGCTGTGCGCAATTGGCTGCCGTGTTTCGCCCACAAAATATATGGTCAATTCACTTTACAGTATATTCTGTGAAGCGCTTTAAGACGGCTCGAATATTACATCAAATACCAGGATTATTATTATTTCTCTTAACTTCTCCAACCTCCCCTTCCTTGCAAAGTCCCAGAATGCGTTGTTGCAAATCTACGCCCCGAGGCTCTGGAGCTCCCTCACTCCCTTCGCCTCACCCCCTTTCTTCCTAATTTCAGGTCTCGGCTGACCTTTCTTTTCGACCGCACCTTCCTCCCCCTCCCCCTGGCTCGGCCCCGGGATCCATTACTGTGAAGAGCTCTGAGACACCATCTGGCATGGCGGGCGCCATATAAATCCAAGTTGTTGTACTGCTTCTCTCCGCTCGTCAAACTGAGGCTTGCTGAGCATCTCCCACCCCCTCTTCCCCAGCATTGACCTTTAACTATTACGAGGCACTCTCTGACACTCTACCCCGCCATATTATCGACTCTTACCTGTCTTCAAACAATGCCTAAATACCTATAATAATAATAATCCTTGCATTTGATATAGCGCTTTTCACGTCGGGAGGACGTCCCAAAGCGCTTCACAGAACACACTGTAAAGTGAATTGACTGTATATTTGTGGGCGAACGCGGCAGCCAATTGCGCACAGCAATGTCCCACAAACAGTCGTAGATTGAAAATGACCAATTTATTATTGTTTTTTTGGAGGGATTATTATTAGGCGTGTGGAGTAAGGAAACTTGCCCAAGGTTTCGCCCTGCCTGGAATTGAACTCAGGTCTTTCCTAGCTTGTAGAACATGCCTAAGGCCACATCTTTTCTCCCCCACAATGCACACAAATTTCCAGAACCAATTTATTGCTCTATTCTGTACAGTGTGATGTGCGTGTATTCCTGGAACGAACAGTGCAGTGTTTGGAATTCAGGATGCATATGTACTATCCTGGACACTGAACTAAATTGGCAAATTCAGTTTTCAAAATTGAAATTTAGGTGAAAATCTGTTTCTGCCAAGTCATTTTCAACCCAAACCAAGTATTTATTATTTACAAATTGGTAAAAATTTGATATTAATGGTCCTTAACATTTTAGTATTTTCATATCAATTTTAATTCAGCCATCAAAATTCTATACAATATTCTCACTTCATAATCTACAAATATCTGTCATAATAGTCAGTCCATTGTGCGTGCAAGCATGCAGGACATCACACACCTCTCAAATGATTGTCCAAACTGGAAATGGTCATTTAATTGTGTGTAAATACTCTTATCAGATTTACTTTTTGAATTATCTAGATTTAATAAATATAAAATGTGTTTCTCTCCTCGTCATATAGGAGGTAGCTCAATTGAGAATTATGCCTACATAATTCCAGAGTCGCCAATAGTTGAACTTGGATCCGAGCTAAAAGCATCCTGCATTCTCAATGATGACTACGTAAAAGATGTAGACGCAAATCAGATTTTCTGGAGATTGAAAGATAAACAAATACCAGAAACTCAGTATGTGGTAGTCAATAGAACTGTGTCCAATGTAACATTGACCTTTTCCGATGCCGGAACTGCACTTCTAACCTGTAATCTACAACTCAATGAAGATCAAGTAGCTACCGTCTTTGGAACAGTTGTCAGAACAGGACGTAAGTATTATTCTGAGAATTGAATGGGTGGGGAAAAGACAAGAAATTGTGTATGTAGCCTGTTTTTTTTGGATAAGACTGAAGATACGTTTGCCGTCGTATTGCATTAAATAAGTCATGTAAATGAATAATCGGCATGTTTTGATAATAAGATAGATTTCAGAAATGGATCAGATACTCTTGGATTAGAAATATTATTTTGATAATCAGAAAGCAAAACTTTTCGTACAGTGTAACTAGTCTTAGATGTGCCATGTAAAACAAATATCCAAATGTTGACAAGCATGAATCACTCACCAGCCTTTTTAAAACTTTATTGTAGTTATCAGTAGTAAGTCTTTGAAGATTTCACCATTTGATTCTTATGGGCAGTAAGACTTTCTATTTCTAATCAAGGTTCTATGGATCTCTAAGCTGTGAGCTAATTTGTGCAAATGTTTTTTGTATTAAGAATTGTGCTAAAATATCCTTCTTTTGATCTTTCATTTAGTACCACCAGAAAAGCCAAAAAACTTGTCATGTATTACATATTATGACAAAAATATGACTTGTGCATGGGATCCGGGAAGAAATACATTCTTGAGGACAAGCTATCTGCTTCAAATGTCAGTACAATCTTTGTTTGTTTAGTGAGTGATTTAAGATATTGATCACCTTTCTATAAGCTTGATATATACAGTGGAAACCCAGTTTGCAGTCGCCTTGGTAATCCAGCTGCCTCACAATTGCAGGCACATTTTCAGTCTCTTTCATCGTCTACACTAAAAGATGGGCTGTCGGCTTCAGTAAACCGGGCACCTCACTATTCAGGATAATGGTCATTGATTGCGACCGCTACAGCGGTCTACTATACTACACACTATAAAGTATCGTTGGTGAATGTTCATCAGCTTTGACCATTACTAATGCCCTTAACATTACATCAGTGTCCTGAATCACCCGACCTGTTTCAGTAATCACGTCACCTCACAAGTAGGTCACTTTAGCCCGGTCACTTGAGTTACTGGATTAGTGAGGTTCTACTGTACCTGGAAATTTCTATTTTATTTTTTCTGAACAATTTTTGAAAGACTGCTATCAAAATTCTAATTTTCTTCATTATGTTAAGTGTTCTGATCAGTAACCTTTAGTTACAAATTATTTTACATCCTTTTTGATGATCAGTTTTCTCTATTGAGGAAAACACTGAAGCTACTGCAATAATATCCAGTTAGGAACAAGCATTTTTACTCAGTTTGATTTTTTTTTAAAAACAGGTTTGTGGGACGTGGCAGTGTTTCTTTCTGCCAATTTTTCTTCTCTCCTCCCATGAAAGGAATTTCTGAGCCATCTGCAGCTCAAATTGTACCTGATGGGCACAAAATGGCTTCCTTCTTTTCCTGTAATACAGTAACTGCACTTGCCATTAAATACTTTAAAGTTCTCAATGTAATTAGGTGTTATAAAAATAAAAACAATTCTTATATTAGATGGATTGACTTTCACAACCAGGCTTGACTATGCCAACTCCCTGCTCGCCTGATTTCCCAACTCTTCCGTCCGCAGGCTACAGACCATTCAGAACTCTGCAGCTCATGTTCTCTCCTGCACCAGGCTTTGGGAGCCTCACCCATCTCCACTAGCTCACATATCTCAGAGGATTGAGTTCAATATCCTCATCCTAACTTAAATCTCTCCACAGTCTTGTTCCACCCTAACCCTATGACCTTCTAAAGCCCAAACAACCCTGGCCTTGCTCTCCAAATTGTAGGCACTGACATTATTCACATTCTCTGTCCTGCCCATGTGGTTGAGCCTTCAGGCTTTCTACCCTTCTCCTGACCCTTTCCCTAAGCTCCTTCAAGATCCATCTCAAGGCATTTCTCTTTGACCACACCCAGAGCAAGCGCTCTGAGACGCCGTCCGGCGTGGAGGGCGCTATATAAATCCAAGTTGTTATTGTTGTTCGTTCATCTTCCCATGCCCACCCCTCTTGCTTCCCATTCCCCACCCTACCCAAATCCAACCCCCAACTCGGGTGCAAACCCTCGACTTTCCAGGCCTTGGGATGTCATCCTGTCGTGAAAGGCACTATATATGAATGCAATTTGATGTTGATCACATCGGGAGGATAACTCAAAGCATTGGACAGGTGGTGGTCAGCCGGGTGTTGACACATGTGGAAATCCATCACCACACTTAAGAGTATCCAAACCAAACTGAGAACTCCATGCATCCCACCTATGCATGGAAATTCCAGAGAGAGATTGTTGAAATGGAATGCAGTCTCTCCCTGGAGGGATGCACCCTGCTTATTTAATTCCGGAGAGTATTAGGCACAGGTTGGTAAGAGCCAAGGCTTGGGAACCCCAGAGTGTGCATTGGGGTACTGCTGTAGTCTGACCAGCTGAAATCACATTAAAATCAATGACTAGCAAGCTTTCCCACTCCTGATCCAGCTAGGATCAACCTGCCCATTAAGGCTTTGGCTTGCAGGTTTAACAGGAGGTGAGTGAGATGATTCCCTGCACGCAGTGACTGGTCTGTCCGTCCAAGTCCTGCCGATGATCCAGGCTGGCTGTGCTGTCATCAGCAGCGCCCTGGAGTACTGTGGACCCGTCAGGCTCAGGAACTGGACTACCAAGACCGCCACAGAGGGCTGGCTCGATTCTGATACAACTATTGCCAAACATGCTTGAGTGAGAATAAAGTTTGAGAAATCTTGATAAAATATGTGGTAGGATTTGATTAATGACATTGTACTAAATTTGGCCTCGTTGATCTTAAAACATTTGAAATTTCTAATTCTGTGTTTTTCAGCAATCGATCTGCATATTACTTCTTCAATAAACAAGTATGTTTGGCAAAGGATATGGAAAATTTTTGTGTAATTCCCTTTGCAAACATCAGTTACTATGTTGATCAAATTTTCTGGGTGGAGGCAACTAACGGTTTGGGCAATGCAAAGTCCGAATCCATCATTTTGGATCCAGTTACCGTTAGTGAGTATCATTTTTGTACTTTAAAACAAGTCTGAGCAGTATGTGAATTGATGTTTTCTCAATTTTTATTGTATAGGATTTGAGATACTATAATATAATAATAATAATAATAATCCTTGCATTTGATATAGCGCTTTTCACGTCGGGAGGACGTCCCAAAGCGCTTCACGGAACACACTGTAAAGTGAATTGATTGTATATTTGTGGTCGAACGCGGCAGCCAATTGCGCACAGCAGTGTCCCACAAACAGTCGTAGATTGAAAATGACCAATTTATTATTGTTTTTGGTTTTACTATTGATTATTATTATAATAATCAACCTTGTACATTTGATAGATATTTGATCTCCTTGTACATTTGAAATATTGATATTTACACCTATAACTTCTCCCTTTCCATCACTTATTCCACTGAGACTTCCATTTTACAAGCCTAATATTGGCCCCAAGTAATGAACATTTTGTTACAGGAATGATCATTTCCTCCTAGGTATATTTAGTATTTTTTATATAAAATGTAAATGTCTATATTCCCAAACTTCCCCTCATTGGCTTCCTACCTCTACTCTCCACAAGTTCCAATCTGTCCAGAACTTGGCAACTTATACAAGGCTGCACGTACTTTACCTATCCTCATCAGGTTCTACTGACTCCAGTACCACAGACGATTGACTAATTTCCTCATCCAGACCTTCAAAGACCATTTTGAAATTGGCTGCTGCATTTCACCCACAAAATGCATAGTCAATTCACTTTACAATATATTCTGTGAAGGGCTTTCAGGCGTCTCAAGGTGCTATATCAAATGCAACGATTATTATTATTGTTGGTCTAACATCTGTTCCAGATTCTCCTCCATCCCACCATCAGTGCCCGAGTCATCAACTATTATTGCTCACTCTCTCTTCCAGTCCCTTTGCCTTGCTCCCCTCCTCCTTTTAAAAACTCAACTCCTTGATCCTGTCTTTGGTTAACACTCTCCTTGCTCTTCTGAAATCTGGCAAAAGCATCTGGTAGTAGGGAATCATTGCTGCCCAGCTCTATTTTTGTTTAATTGGCAACTTTTCCTATTCGGAACTCTTTGATTTTTATTTGTAGTGCCTGATCAGAACATTAGCTATACCCGCAGATACCTGCAGCCTAAGCTTGGGGATTTACTGTATAACATCCTTCATACTGGGTAATATTTTGGATCACTTAATCATTGGTAGAAATAGAAGATACACAACTATTTTTGGTCATTACCAGGGCCAATAGAAAATTGCGGAAATATTTGCTGTAAAATTGCCGAGAAATCTGTCAAAAATTGCAGGGATGGTTCGTGCTGTTGATACATTTTACTGCCAAGCAACATTTTTTCGCTTTATTGATCAAAACTAAATATGAAGAAATAACATATTAGATGGGCTGAATGGCCTCCTTCCTTTCTGTAAATTTCTATGATTTATCTAAGGGAGTGAGGAGAGAGTGCAGTAAATGCAGTATTTTTAACCAATCTATTCATCAATAGCTATAGAAACAGTTTTGATAAAAGAGAATTTGCATTTACTCCTTTTTTTAAAACTTGAAAAAAAACTTCTTTCCCCCGCCTAAGCCACATCCTGTTCCCAAAGGCGAAAAGCAGTTTGCTTGCAAAATCTGCCTACTGTCTAGTGATTATGAGAGGCACAAGACTATTTGTCTGCCTTTTTTTCTAGCTTCCACCCATGGGACGTCCACTGCAATCTGGCCAAGATGTTTTGCAGATACAGTTTTATTCACAAAATGCACAGTCATTCTACTTTGCAGTATGTTCTGTGAAGTGCTTTGAGACGTCTCACTGATGTGATAATGCACTACATGAAGTGAAAGGATTATTATTATTACCCCTTTGTAACACAAATATCCAAAATGTGCATGTGCAGCATACAGACTGGGGTTTTGATGCATTAGTGGAGTGAATATAAAAGTTCTACTTAAATAGATCGATTGCGCCCAGTTATAATGCTGGTTGGAACCAAACTACCATGTTATAATGGGTCTCTACTGTCAAATTTATCCATACTAAATTAATGTTGTTTGTGTTTTAGTAAAACCTGATCCCCCAGTGATATCCACGGTGCAATCTGCACCAAATATCACCACGATGTTGACTGTAAGATGGAAAAATCCAGCCATCCTAGCAAACTATCAGCTGAAGTACATTATCCGTTATAGAGCAGTTGATGATCATGAGTGGATGCAGGTAAACTAATGTATTAAAGAAACTTAAAATACTGAAATATTGTAATCTTTTTGAGAGGAGGGAAGTTGCATCTTGGGTATGTTTTTCTAAATCCACAAATCTGCATTTCCTTATAATGTATCTAAATTCGGTTCTGCTCAGAATATCTCAGATGTGTAATGCTCTACCAAAAATAATGGTTGAAGCAGAATTCATAATAGCTTTCAAAAGGGAATTGGGTAAATATTTGGCCTGTGCTGTTAAATTGTACAATTGTATGTATCTTATGTTCAAAGCTACATATCAAGAGTGCAAAAATAGCCTGCAATTAAGTATACTGTACCAATATCTTTCACTTCCTTGACAGGTTCCCCCGGAGGATACATCAAATCATAGAGAGTCATTCATGCTTCATAACCTAACACCTTTTACCGAGTATGTTTTCACAATCCGGTGCAAGAGCAAGCGTGAGGCTGGTTTCTGGAGTGATTGGAGTGCAGAGAAAAGTGGGAGGACTCCTGAAGGCAGTATGTATAACAAACAAATATGATCGTGAAACGTTTGGTGGTAATGAAACTAGTAGGAGCAGAGCCAGTAATTAAGAAGAAAGTTTAAAAATAAATCCATTCAGCTATATATTCATTGTCTTTCAAGCATTCTTTTGATTTTACACTGGATAAGTATCTGTTCCAAATATTCCCTTTGCCTATTCCAATTCCAAAGAAGGTTCAAAAATAGTTGCTATTTTCTACTGCTTTATTTTCTACTCATGCATAAGATCAAAACAACAACAACAACAAGATTCCATTTATAAAGCGCCTTTCACGTCAGGAGGACGTCCCAAGGCGCTGCACAGTTGGGTCATGACCCGAGCAGGGGGGAAATGGTCAGGGTGAGGGGAGGGAAGGGAGGGAGCGAGGAGGGGGAAGAGAGTCGAGAGGGGAGCTGAAGGCTCGGTCAAAGAGAAAGGTTTTGAGACCGGCCTTGAAGGAGGAAAGGGAGGAAGCAAGGCGAAGGCACTGGGGGATAGAGTTCCAGAGCCTGGGGGCTGAGAGGCTGAAGGCCCGACCACCGATGGTAGGGCGGTTGGGGCGGAGGACGTGGAGCAGACCGGAGCCAGAGGAACGGAGGGTACGGGCAGGTAGGTAGGGGGATAGTAGGTTGGAGAGGTAGGAGGGAGCAAGGCCGTGAATGGCCTTGTAGGTGAGGATGAGGATCTTGAAATCAATCCTCTGGGGGATGGGGAGCCAGTGGAGGCGAGCGAGGGTGGGAGTGATGTGGTCCCGAAGCCAAGTGCTGAGTTCTGAATGACCTGCAGCCTGTGGAGGGAGGCGGCGGGAAGGCCGGTGAGGAGAGAGTTCCCATAGTCCAGCCTTGAGGTGACAAAGGCGTGAACCAGGGTTTCAGCAGCGTGAGGGGTGAGGTAGTGCCGTAGTCTGGCGATATTCCGGAGGTGATGGAAGGCGGTGCCAGTTGTGGTGCGGATGTGAGGGAGAAAGGACAGCTCAGGGTCGAACAAAACGCCGAGGTTCCTGACTGGCTTTGAGAGGTGGAGAGTGCAGCCTTGGATGCTGATGGTGTCAGCGCCTGAGGTGCGGAGGCGCTGACGTGAGCCAATCAGGAGGGCCTCGGTTTTTCGCACGTTGAGCTGAAGAAAGTTGTCTCTCGTCCAGGACTCGATGTCGGACAGGCAGCTGTCAGGACATCGGTGGTCGTGGAGTTGAGAGTAGAGGAGGAAAGGTAGAGTTGGGTGTCATGCATGTGGAAGTTAACTCCATGTCTGCGGATGATGTCACCGAGGGGGAGCATATAGAGGGTGAAGAGGAGGCGACCGAGGACAGAGCCCTGAGGGACACCACATGAGACAGTACGGGGGGGTGGAGGAGAAGCCATTCGTCGAGACAAAGTGAAGACGGTGAGAAAGGTACGACCTAAACCATGAGGTGGGAAGACAAGCGGTGGAGTAGGATAGCACGGTCGACCGTATCGAATGCTGCCGATAGGTCGAGGAGGACGAGGATGCAGAGGGAGCCCTGGTTGCAGATGGTCAGGATATCATTGGTGACCTTGACCAGGGCAGTTTCTGTGCTATGGGCAGCACGGAAACCTGACTGAAGGGGTTCGAAAAGTGAATGGGTGGAAAGGAAAGAGCGCAGTTGGGAGGCGACAACTCTTTCCAAGACCTTGGAGAGAAAGGGGAGGTTGGAGATGGGCCGGTAGCTTGATAGCTGCGACGCATCAAGGGAGGGTTTTTTCAGGGTGGGCGTGATGGTGGCAGTTTTTAAGGGAAACCCATCTGTGTGTGTGTCTGTGTACGTGTGAAGGTTTCAGTTTTGCACATTCTTGACAGCTTGTGGAGTCCTGTAGCTCAGTGGTTAGAGCACTCGCTTTGCAAGTGAGAGACCTGAGTTCAATTCCAGGCAGAGGGCGAAACCTTGGGCAAGTTTCCTTACTCCACACAGAGCCTAATAATAATCCCTCCAAAACCAAAAACAATAATAAATTGGTTATTTTCAATCTACGACTGTTTGTGGGACATTGCTGTGCGCAATTGGCTGCCGCGTTCGCCCACAAATATACAGTCAATTCACTTTACAGTGTGTTCTGTGAAGCACTTTGGGATGTCCTCCCGACATGAAAAGCGCTATATCAAATGCAAGGATTATTATTATTATTATTATTATTATCTGTCACAAAGTAATACATCTGTTTTTTTAAATAACCATATGGTCAAAGGTGGTGATCATAATACAGTGGAGCCTTGTTATAATGAGGTGTTTGGGAATCTATAACATTCCAGCTTGCACTCTAGTGAAGCACAGTAGCCGGTTTCACTGCTCATGTGTGCAACCAGCCAGTTTGCTCCTTCCACACTGGGACTAAAAATAAAAAAGAGTTGACATGCTGGTTATTGGGTCAGCGCCAATATCATTTCATTACTGGGTTCTGACAAAGGGTCGTGGACCTGAAACATTGACTCACTTTCCTTTCTCCATAGATGCTACCTGACCTACTGAGTGTTCCCAGGGACTTCAGTTTTTGTTTTCACTTCATTACTTCTTGGTTTAGGTACAAACTAACAAGTGTTGTTGTGGTGGCCTAATAACCCAGAAGTTGGCCATTTTTGACCGAAAGCAGGCTGACATGGGACTGAATTGTATATTGATTTATACATTCAGTACTTAAAACATTTTTGTTTTGATAAAATAGTAACTTGTAATCATAAAAGTACATTTTGCATTACACTTACGTGGAGTCCTGTAGCTCAATGGTTAGAGCACTCGCTTTGCAAGTGAGAGACCTGAGTTCAATTCCAGGCAGAGGGCGAAACCTTGGGCAAGTTTCCTTACTCCACACAGAGCCTAATAATAATCCCTCCAAAAACCAAAAACAATAATAAATTGGTCATTTTCAATCTACGACTGTTTGTGGGACATTGCTGTGCGCAAATGGCTGCCGCGTTCGCCCACAAATATACAGTCAATTCACTTTACAGTGTTCTGTGAAGCGCTTTGGGACGTCCTCCCGACGTGAAAAGCGCTATATCAAATGCAAGGATTATTATTATTACACTTGAAAACGTATAATGTAAAAATAGCTAAGCAAACTCAATTTTAGATATTTAGTATGACTGATGCATTCAAATAAGCACAGACTTTGATGAAGAACATTAAATTTCAGAACATTTTTTGGGGTCAGCTGGGCATCTAACATATGTAGAAACCCATCGCCAAACCAGACTATTTCATGTATGCCACTTTCACATTCTTGTGTCTGGAACACACTCCCCGGAGGCACTTATCCTCCTAACCTAATTTCTACATACTAATCAAAGTGATCTAACTCCTAGATATATGAACACATGTTCACAAACGTGGACTACAGTTAACACCTTCCAGCTGCTGTCACTCCAAGCCTCAGTTTCCTCATGAGGTATTTGGTGGACATCGGCCTTCAACAGTTTGTGATGTGCCAACCACCTTGATGTTTTCAAGGTTCAAATCCAATGCCGCCCACCAAGCTTACTCAGCACCAGCTACTTAATCCAGGTTCTTGTGTAAGGGGCTTTGGCAAATAGACATTTTGCCCACAAATATACAGTCAATTCACTTTACAGTCTATTCTGTGAAGCGCTTTGAGATGTCGAGAAGACATGAAAAGCGCTATATCAAATGCAAGGATTATTATTATATTATATTATGTCTGCCATGAAGCTGACTACGTCTGTTGCTCAGAAACAGGGTTGAGCCAACCCTCCTTGCAGCCGTTAGCCCTGTTTGATCCTGGATGTTCTAAATGGACCAGAGGAATTAATGTTCAGAAATGCTTTCAGTTTAAAGAATGAAACCACCACCCAAGTGAATAACTCTGGTATAAGATAATTTGAGAAATAATGGAAACTTGCTCTCCATTAATTAGCTTTCATATAAATCCTTGTAATTAATTCTTTTATATGAAAGTGATCTTCACCAATGCGTTTGCACCTTTTTTTTTAATCAGAGCCACTTCGAGGTCCAAGCATCTGGAGAACAATTGAAATTATAAACTCTCAGGATAGACGGTTACATCTCATGTGGAAGGTACCTTTGTTTATGTAAACCTGTGACAATTCTTCCAGCACAGTTAATAATAATACAGGCTTTTGATATAGGGTCTTATCACACAGTCAAAACATCTCAGTGTGATCTACTGTACAGTGCAGCAAATATCTATTAAGCAAATGACCAGTTTTTAGGATGATATAGTGCCATGTCTCATTCAATGCAAGACCCCTCTGACAACCTTACAGATAGGCACAATGAATAAATATATTCACTTTACCATATATTCTGTGAGACATCTCAATGGTAAGGTGCTATATCAAATGCAATGATGATTATTATTATTATAGTGTCCACACTTAAGAGTTATAGGCTCTTGCTTTGGTACCATACTGGTTAGCCTAGGGGACGTGAATGTACTTTTGCTTGAAATTTGGCCTTAAAATAATAATCCCTCCAAAAAAACAATAATAAATTGGTCATTTTCAATCCACGACTGTTTGTGGGACAATGCTGTGCGCGATTGGCTGCTACATTTCGCTCACAAATATACAGTCAGTTCACTTTGCAGCATATTCCTAAGAAGCGCTTTGAGACATCTAGAAGACATGAAAAGCGCTATATCAAATGCAAGGATTATTATTATAAAATTTGTCATCATTGTCTATGTATCATACTGTTCCATTTGTCCAGATCATGTTGGTCATGTTTCATATTTTTTAGCAGCATTTTAATCAATCAAATGTAAACCCTCATGCCCCTCTCCTTGTAACAATGGATGCACTTTGAATATTTTCTTATTTTTCGTCAGTGGTAAGAGAAAATTAGGAAGAACTGCATTTATTAATTATTGCTGCTGAATACAATGACCAAGTATTCTTTGGATCTCGTGATATTAGTTTCTTCGCAGTTCTTTAGTTTCTTTAATGTCTTTGAGATTCTGCACTAGTATTTGTATTTTCTTTGTTTAAACTTTCTGATTCAATTTTGCAGGAGCTAACAAAGTCTAATGCCAACGGAATTATTTTGTGGTACTATCTGGAAATAAAGCAAATGAACCCTTTGGAAATAGAGGAAATAAAGACTCTCGATTTGTTTTATGATATTATCCTTTCGAATAAAGGGTATGAAATAAGTGTCAAAGCCCACAATTCAGTCGGGAATTCTTCTGCGCAAACTATAAAAGTGCTTGCAAAAAATCAAAAAGGTGAGCTTTGTTTTATAACCACATGTCAAGGGTCATTAAATCCTTTTGAAAGATGTATGATTTTTAAAATGAGAGATGAAAACAGTTTTTTGAGGAATTAATATTCACTGAAGGCATAAGATTTATTTCAATACAAAATGTATACCAAAAATCTAAAATTTGACTTCATTCTAGGATTTGCAGGTGTACAAAAGCTCAGTGCTTACCCTCAGGATGGTCAGTTGATGGTGGAATGGAAACGTGTTTCCTCAAGTGGTTTTTTGATTGAATGGTGTGAAGAATTGAAAAAGGATCTGTATCCTGGACCAGTATACTGGCAACATGAGTCAAGATCTGCCAACAAGACATTCTTAAAAGGTGGCAACCATTGTACCGTGCTTTACACCATTTTGTTATGTGGGAATGCAAGCGGTATAATGCTTCTTTGATTCGAAAGTGTATAGACTTGTTTGTATTCTATGGTTTGTGCCAACATATTAATGAAAAGGAACATCACAACATCCAGGACCAGAAACAATAACTATGGCACATATGGTTTCTAACTGCAGCGTGTGAAGTTTCCATTAAAGGTCATCTGGTAGCAATCAGGAGTAGGAAAGCTATTTCACTTTCCATTTCCTACAGCCCTTGAGTGCTGAGGTCAGCTATGCTCCCCTACTGCTGCTGAGCTCAGATGAACTAACTCAGCAGATACTGGTTGTTTTGGCTGTTCTGCAGCACCTTTACCGACTAATCCATTAGGGAACTCAGCTGATTGTACCTACAGTAGAAACAGGAGTAGGCCATTCAGTCCTTCTAGCCTGTTCTGCCATTCTTAAGATCATGGCTGATCTGCACCTCAACTCCAATTGCCCATCCTTGCCCCGTATCCCTTGATAACCTGACCTAACAAATAGCTATCCATCTCAATCTTGAAAATGTGAATGGATCCAGCATCCACAGCCTTTTGGGGGAGAGAGTTTCAGATTTCCACAACCCTTTGGGTGAAAAACTGCCTTCTGATTTCACTCCTAAATGGCCTAGCTCTAATTTTAAGATTATGTCCCCTTGTTCTGGGTTCCCCCACCAGAGGAAATAATTTCTCTGTATCCTATCGAATCCCTTTATTATTTCAAAAACCTCAATTAGGTCATCCTTCAACCTTCTAAACTCAAGGGAATACAGATTAACTTTATGCAACCCGTCCTCATAATTTAACCCATTTAGCCCTGGTATCATTCTGGTGAATCTGCGCTGCACCCCCTCCAGAGCCAATATTTCCTTCCTGAGGTACAGGGCCCAAACCTGAACACAGTACTCCAGATGAGGTCTGATCAAGGCTGTATACAGTTGAAGCATCATTTCCTCTCCTTTATAATCCAGCCCCCATGAGATAAAGGCCAATGTCCCGTTAGCCTTTTTGATAACTTTTTGTATCTGTCAGCTTGGTTTTAGTGATTTGTATAGCTAGACACCCAAATCCTGTTGCTCCTCCACAGTTCTCAGTTTCTCACATAAGTAAAACTCGCATAAGTCTTATCTTTATAAATTGTATATTCGCCTAAGTCGTACATACACCCAAGTTTAATTCAGTTTCCTATCAAAACCACTTAAATTTATTTGCACTACTCATATTAATCAGTAATAAGTAAAGTGTCATCCTCGCTCAATTGGTGGCACTCTCACTTCTGAGTCGGATAGTTATGGGTTCAACCTCCTGGAACCTGGAACTCACGTAGTCTCAGCTTGTAGTGCTGGGATTGTGTTGCATTGGAGGTGCTGTTCTTCAGATGAGACATTAAACCAAGGTCCCATCTTCCTGTTCGAGTGGATGTTAAAGATTTCATGGCACTATTTGAAAAGAGAAGAGAGCATCTCCCAGTGTCCTAGATAACAATCCCTCAAATAAAATTGGTCACTCACTTCATGGCAGTTTGTTTGCTGTGTGGCAAATTGATTACGCATTTGCTCATAAAACACACGGTTACTACACTTTACAGTATATCCTGTGAAGCGCTTTGGGATTATTATTTTTTAAATTTAAAGAACGACAGTAAAGAACTGTTAAAAGAGATTGTTTTCCCTTAAAGCCAATTGATAAAATGTGCTTTGTCTTAAAGCAATGGAGGGTTTGGGAATAATGTACATATCTCAATGAGTTATTTCTTCCACAGAAAACATCATGCCATTCAAACGCTATCAGATAACAATTTATCCTCTCTACAATGGTCAACCAGGAGCATCACTTTCAACAAAAGCATATCTGGAACAAGGCCGTATGTAACCAACATTTTTTGCTTAAAATGTAGAGAAAAGGTTTAGATTTTTGTATATAATAGAAGTCCAATAAATAATTAATCAGCCTGGCTCAATTGCAGGACCAGGAGGGAAATTGGGGGTCAGGCATTATTCCCGCTTAGCTGTGTACAAGTCACAGCATCTCGTTGGACAAGCAACAGGACGTTTGCCAGGCACTGCTTTAGTGGCATAGAATTATACAGCACAGAAGAAGGCCATTCGGCCCATCGTGTCTGTGCTGGCTTTTTGAAAAGAGCTATTCAATCCCACTCCCCTGCTCTCTCCCTGTGCCTTGTGGTTGTACATGGTTAAACTCTAGTTGTACCCAGTGCACGTTCTGGGGGTCCCAAATCTTTGTTCTTGCCAACCTGAGCCTAATATTCTCCGGAATTAGGTAAAATGGGTGAGTCCCTCCAGGGAGAGTGCACATTCCATTTCAGCCACAGGAATATTTCCATATATTCGTGGTATACATTTATGAATTTCTTTCTGGATATTCTTAAGCATGTTAATCTGCTTTATGACTACCGGGGAGTGTTTGGATTTAAACGATCTCTTGTGAAACAATGAACAGTTTGCTTGCGTGGATAATTTATTTTCTGTTGAATGAGCTGTGGTGACAGGTTAATTATCTTGTATTTTAGGTCCAATAAGAGGTCCTGAAGTTCACCTGAAGCGCGTGGGAAAAAATGAAGTTGAAATGATGTGGAAAGAAATTGCAGTAAATGATCAGCAAGGTTTCATCACAAACTACACCATATTTTACAAGCATGGCAATGCAAATGTATCATGTAAGCAAAAAAACAAGTTTCTTTTATTAGTGTTTTGATAGCAAAATGCATGACGTGATTGTTAAGAGATTTAAGGGTTGTGTTTTGGAGATATTGAAATTGTACTATTTACAACAACAACTTGCATTTATATAGCGCCCTTCACACGGGGTAGTGTCCCGGAGGGCTTATTTATACTCTTGTTTCCTGGTTCTAAGACTATGTTGCCTACACCTTTTCTTTTTTGTCAGTTTTCTTGCACGGAGTGTTGATGAAAGTAAGTTAGAATCTGCATCTAAAGTAAGAAAAAGTATGTATATGGTCAGCTAAATGTAGGGCATTAACATACTATGATTAAACATAAAGTATGGAATTTTAAAGTATTCACATTTTTCCACAACATTATAATGTTGCAAATGATTCCACAGACAAAAGAGAGAAATTTACAACTGATAATAATAATAATCCTTACATTTGATTTAGCACCTTTCAAGGCAAGAGGGGTTTTAAAGAACAATCAAGTCACTTTTAAAAGTAGCAGTCTGGTCTCACTGTGGAGAGCCTAAGGTTTATCTTGTTGTGCTTTACCCCAGTTGTAGTGTTGAAACAAAAAATTTGATTTGCAGACCTATGAATGTGAAGTTATTTTTTTTAAAAAACTACCCCTCTTAAGAATAGGTCATCTTGATAAAACATAAGAGAATTCTTGTGCTGGGCTAGCATGGCAGAGACCATGTTAAAACTGCTATGAATAAGTGTATTGGCTTTCCTGCCAAGAGATTACAGCAGTTGTTATTTTAAAATGTCACAAGGATAACCTGTTTTGTCGTGTACATTAGAGAATTGTGACACATGTACACAGACCTGTTTGTTAGCAAAACCTGTAAAAACCTCTTGCCTGTGGTATGCATTACAGAGAATTTTAATGTGAGCAACACAGGACAAATTTCATAGAAGAAGCTGTGGTTTGTGGCTTCAAATTTGATGGCATTTAATAAGTAATATGTTCAAATGGTCAACAACAAAATTACATTTGTATTGCACCTTTCACGTCAGGTGGCACTGGCCACCGAATGTTTTCAGATATAACATATCCTTGCTATGTTACAAAAAAATAATTATTCCACAAGACAACTCCTCAGTTCTTTTGTGTTTGAAACTAAGAAATTGTATCTTGCAGCCTGTTGGACTGTAATCAGGACTGCTATCATTTCAACCAAGCTGGGTGTTGAACCTTATGGTGTGTTAAATAATCTTAGCTTCAAGGCTCCCCTACTCATTATTTTCAGTGGAGATGCTGGGAACTGAGACTGACAAATCAAATGTTTCAGCATCCAGGCACAGAAATTGAAAACAGAATTTTCAACAAAGTAACCCATTTGGTTTTGCCCATAAAATACAGTCAATTCACTTTACAGAATATTCTGAAGCGCTTTGAGTCATCTCAACGACATGATAATATGTAGAGGGATGAGAGGGATGAGTTATGAGAATAGGTTGAGCAATTTAGGCCTATATTCTCTAGAATATAGAAGAATGAGAGGTGATCTTATAGAAACTTATAAGATTATTAAGGGGCACGTCAGAATAGACAGTTGGAGAATTTTTTCCCTGGTTGGAGAAACTAACCAGTCTTAAAATTAGGGGTAAGCCCTTTTGCACTGAGTTGAGGAAAACTTCTTCACTCAAGAGGGTAGTGAATTTATGGAATTCTCTACCCCAAAGGACTGGAGATACTCAGTCCTTGAATATATTCAAGACTGAGATTGATAGATTTCTTGTGGATTAAGGGATATGGGGATAAGGCGGGTAAGATTAGATCAGCCATGATTTTATTGAATGGCGGGGCAGGCTAGAGGGGCCGAATGGCCTACTCCTGCACCTATTTCTTAAGTTCTTATAAAATGCCATATCAAATGCAAGGATTATTTTTGTATTGACCATTGTTTTATAAATGGGGGTAGAGAATATAAAACCAAAGAGGTAATGCTAAACTTATAAATCGTTAGTTAGACTACAGTTATCATATTGTGTCCAGTTTTGGTCACCCTACTTTAGTAAAGATGTCAAGGTAGTAGATGGGGTGCAGGGGAAATTTACTAGGATGGTATTGAGAATGAGTGGTTTGTCCTGTGAGCAACTGGAGACCGGAGGAACTGGAACTTTTTGCATGAAGGTTGAGGGGAGGATCTGTTATGGGTCTTTAAAATCTTGAGGGGTTTTGATAGAATCTAGGGAGAAGTTATTTACACTGGTTAGTAAGTCACTGATGAGAGAGCATCAATTTTAGGTTAAGGAAGTTTAGGAAAAAAAATTTCATGCACAAGAGTATTGAGGATCTGGAAGTACCCCACTGGGAGTGGTGGCTCTTATAACCTAAGAATAATCATGCTGTTGTTTCCTTCATTTTGATGAAAATATTATACTACCCAACTGTTTCTCATTTATGAATGTTTCAGTTTAATTGTAATTTAGCAATAGTTCATATAATTTTATTTTTCAGCTGTGACTGTTGACCCAATGCATCAAGAGTGTACATTGACTTCCTTAAAGGGTAATACCTTGTATGTAATCTGGGTCATGGCATCAACAGTGAAAGGAGGCAGAAACAGCTCTGAAGTGACTTTTACTACATTGCATTTTGGTAAGTTTTGTTTCCACATATTGTATTGCTAACTTTATTTTAAAAATCAACAAATAAGTGCAGTGCTTAATGGTGGAAACTTGTGTTCTGAAGACATTGGTGTGTTACATGAATTCAGTCATTTCATTTAACATTGACTCAGCCTCAGTTTTGTGGCGTGAATAAAAAATCTTTTCAAATACAAAAGCACACTTATCAAAATTGAAAATGACTAATAGGAGAAATACATTTTCAAAGGTCTTGTTTTCTTAGTCTTTCACTGCAGTCCCTCAATACTGGCATTATCGAGTAAATTTGCGAAAGATTCTCAAAATATCGGGTTACATTAACCAGCAGCTATTAAATAATAATGAATGCAATCTTACATAAGTGTCACATGTTCAGTCAAAGTAGAAGTAAATATTGCAATGCAGACATTTCATTTATGTGAAAGCACTTTGCTTCATGATGAGCTCATTCTGAGTGGGAAATTATACAACTTGCACTTTCAGTAGGAACTATCACACAGGCATCATTTTGAAGTGACTGTAGAAGCTAAGCAAGGCGGATGGGAGGGGAGAGATGTGTTTGTAGGTGTTACATTTTCTACTATTACATTTTTTTTTGCAGCTAAGGGAGAAATTGAAGCCATCGTTGTACCAGTTTGCCTGGGCTTTCTCTTTATCACAATCATGACTATACTGCTCTGCTACAGCAAAAAACATCTGTAAGTTTCCATTATTTTTGCTTAGTTATACACGTTACAGGATTTTGCCATAATTACGGATTTGGAAGTGTATTTTCTGTTTAGATAGCATTCGTATAATTTCATAGTTTAGCTGTAATTTACAGAGAATATTTTCTGGCATTATATCCTACACGTTTTGTGATAAACCGTTAATCAGAGGGACACTCACTGGATCATCACACCTGTATCTCACTTTTAAAAACCCCAGCCTGCATTTAATTTCTGCTCAGCTAATCCTCAAAATATTTTGAGGGCAGTGATCATCTGCTTTTGAAAGAGTAAAAATTTAGTGTTTAATTTTTCAAAATATTTCTTCACAGGATTAAGAAATATGTTTGGCCTAATGTCGCAGATCCTGCCAATAGCAGGGTTGTTGATTGGTTACCTAATGCTGGAAATCTAATGCAGGTAGGATTTTTTTTCATTCAATACTGCACAACCACTTTTCTTGCAAGATGGATAGAATTCAAAAGGAATGCACTTCTGCATCCTTCATACTCTGGTTGCAGCTCTTCACCATTAAGCAACAATAACAACAACAAAATTACATTTATAGAGTGCCTTTAACGTCGGGAGGACGTCCCAAAGCGCTGAACAGTCAGTGTCGGGGCCTGAGCATGGGGAGCAAAGCAAAACACTTATTCAAATCAGAAATTTACAATGCAGTTTGCATCAGTTTAAATCTTATTTTCACTCGTATACTAGTTCATTTAATCAAACTAAATGTCAATGATGTATTTCTACTATGCTGTAAAACATAATGATGGAAAAGGGGTGAGGGAACGCAGAGAGGTAGGAGGGAGACCAAAGGCACGATCGAAGAGAAGGGTCTTGAGACCGTCCTTAAGGGAGGCAAGGGAGGAAGCGAGGCGAAGGGACCATGGGATGGGGGCAGAGAGGCTGAAAGCCCGGCCACCGATGGTAGGTCGGGCGGGAGACATGAAGTAGACCGGAGCCCGCTGAACGGAGGCAGCGGGCAGGTTGGCAGGTTAAACTCGTGTCCAAGGCTGAAGCTCCAATGCAGTGCTGGGGTTTGTTGCATTTTTGGAATTGTTCTGAGGTTCGAAAAACATGTATTAAAATGTGTGTCAGCTTGGATCAGTGGTAGCACATTTGCCTCAGTCAGAATGTTGTGGGTTTGAGTCCAGTGTCGGGACGTGAATTCACATCGAAACTGACACTCCAATGCAGTTACATTGTCAGCGGTGTCGTTGTTCAGATGAGACACTAAACTGAGGTTTAATAGCCTGTTCAAATGGACATTAAAGATCTCATGCACTATTCGAAAAGGGAAGAGTTTCTCATGGTGTGTGTCCCCCCCCACAAAACAAAAGCAAGGATTATTATCTGGTGATTGAAATTAGGCTCGAAGGGTATGTGTTTTTAGCTAGTCGGAGACCTGAGGACAGTGCTTGTCAGGTTAAATTGTTCATCTACTTTATCTGTGCTCTCACCCTCATCCACAACACCCTCTCCTCCACACTCGACACTCTTGCCCCCATCACCTCCCGTACTGTCTCCTACTCTCGCTCCTCCCCCTGGTTCACCATCCACCTCCGCTCACTGAAGAGCCAGGTACGGGCCGCTGAACGCACCTGTGTCAAATCTGGCCGGACCTCCTCAAAATCTACCGCTCCACTCTAGCCTCGGCCAAGTCGTCCTTCTACTCCAGGATAATCCTGGAGGCAAAGAACAACCCCAGGCTACTGTTTCCTACCACATCCCGACTCCTCCGTTTCCCCCCGCCACCCCGCGCAGGTCATCTCCTCTAACCTTCACTACGAGGAGATACTGGATTTTCTTGAATCCAAAATCAAGGGAATCCGCTCCGCGGTCACTCCCCCTCCAACTTCCACCCACCCCTTCCCTCCCACACTCCGACTCCTGCCCATCCTCCCCTACACACCTTCGAACCCGTTTCCCCACCCTCTGTCACCAAACTCATCCTGTCCCTGAAACCCACTACCTGCTCCCTTGACCCCATCCCCACTCCACTCCTTATCTCTCAGCTCCACCTCCTTGCCCCACTTATCACAGACATCATCAACCTGTCCCTCTCCTCTGGCTCTGTTCCCATTCCCCTAAAAACTGCCATCATCACTCCCACTTTGAAAAAACCCTCCCTTGATACGTTGCAGCTATCAAGCTACCGGCCCATCTCCAACCTCCCCTTCCTGTCCAAGGTCCTTGAACGAGTTGTCGCCTCCCAGCTGCGCTCTTTCCTCTCCACCCATGCATTATTCGAACCCCTTCAGTCAAGTTTCCGTGCTCCCCATAGCACAGAAACTGCCCTGGTCAAGGTCACCAATGACATCGTGACCATCTGCGAGCAGGGCTCCCTCTGCATCCTCGTCGTCCTCAACCTATCGGCAGCATTCGATATGGTCGACCACGCTCTCCTCCTCCGCCGCGTGTCCTCCCACCTCAACCTTCAAGGCTTTTCCTCCACCCCCCGTACTGTCTCGTGCGGTGTCCCTCAGGGCTCTGTCCTCGGTCCCCTCCTCTTCACCCTCTATATGCTCCCCCTCGGTGACATCATCCGCAGACATGGGGTTAACTTCCACTTGTATGCAGATGACACCCAACTCTATCTTTCCCCCTCTACCCTCAACTCCACGACCACCGATGTCCTGACAGCTGCCTGTCCGACATCGAGTCCTGGACGAGAGACAACTTTCTTCAGCTCAACGTGCGCAAAACTGAGGCCCTCCTAATTGGCTCACGTCAGCGCCTCCGCACCTCAGGCGCTGACAGCATCAGCATCCAAGGCTGCACTCTCCACCTCTCAAAGCCGGTCAGGAACCTCGGTGTTCTGTTCGACCCTGAGCTGTCCTTTCTTCCTCAACCGCGCCACAACTGGCACTGCCTTCCATCACCTCCGAAACATCGCCAGACTATGGCACTACCTCACCCCTCACGCTGCTGAAACACTGGTCAACGCCTTTATCACCTCAAGGCTGGACTACAGGAACTCTCCTCGCCGGCCTTCCTGGCACCTCCCTCCACAAACTGCAGGTCATTCAGAACTCTGCAGCTCGTGTACTGTCCCGCACCAGGCTTCGCGACCACATCACTCTCACCCTCGCTCGCCTCCACTGGCTCCCCATCCCCCAGAGGATTGATTTCAAGATCCTCATCCTCACCTACAAGGCCATTCACGGCCTTGCTCCCTCCTACCTCTCCGACCTACTAGCCCCCTATTTACCTGCCCATACCCTCCGTTCCTCTGGCTCCGGGCTGCTCCACATCCCCCGCCCCAACCGCCCTACCATCGGTGGCCGGGCCTTCAGCCTCTCAGCCCCTAGGCTCTGGAACTCTATCCCCCAGTGCCTTCGCCTTGCTTCCTCCGTTTCCTCCTTCAAGGCCGGTCTCAAGACCTTTCTCTTTGACCGTGCCTTCAGCTCCCCTCTCGACTCTCTACCCCCTCCTCGCTCCCTCCCCTCACCATTTTCCCCCTGCTCGGGTCCTGACCCAACTGTCCAGCGCCTTGGGACGTCCTCCCGACGTGAAAGGCGCTCTATAAATGGAATCTTGTTGTTGTTGTGCTGCATTCACGAGTGCATTTTCTGCTTAATTTTGATTAACAGTGTCATTTATTTTTCAACAGAACAACGTTGGCCAGAAAGAACCTTTGAATCCAGATGGCATCATTTCAGATCTTAAAATAATCGAAGCCGATGTAGGTAGCACAAAATATCTTTCAACTGAGGAGGACATGAAGCCAATCACAACTTTGAAAAAAGAGAAAAGTATGTCAGGAGAGCACAGTAGTGGTATTGGTGGTTCCTCGTGTATGTCATCCCCGCGACAGAGTGTCTCAGACAGTGATGATGGAGAGTCAGTACAGAATACTTCAAGCACAGTTCAGTATTCAACTGTGGCTAGTGATCCATGCTACAAACGACAGGTTCCACCACAGGGCATCGCACGATCAGAATCAACACAACCTTTACTGGAAAATGAAGAAGAGCATATGTATGGCAATTTGGGAAGCTGCAGTACAGAAATGAAAAGACAGTACTTTAAACAGAACGGTAATATAGAGGAGGCAAATGAAGGAAGCGAAGCACATATCAATAAATCAGATGTCCCAACTCATCTAAATGGAGGCAGCTTGCTTGGACTAAATGAGCTAAGCATTTCGGACCAGAGCCCTGACTTTGTGGGATGTCATCCCAGGATGGAGGAGTTTCCAAGCAACAATGAACAAACTGTTGTCAGGCTGGATTTTTTGGGGTTCAATGCAGATCTCGAACCTGATCACAAAAGTTACATGCCTCAGGCTGTGAAGCACAACAGCTATATGCCTCAGTCAAAATAAAAAGAAGCAAGGCTTCTTATACCTGTATTTGAAATGAATTCACTTTGCAGCTCTTGCCTCACAGGCCACGTTGTTTTAAAAACTGCCTTTTGTTAGTATTCATCACTATCCTAAATAAGTGATCGTTGTAATCAGAATATCTAAAGACTGGTAATATTCAGGCTTATAGTTGCCAAGTGTGATTATGAATATTTTGAGTGAGCTGGAATACTCTTGCCACTAGTTATCTTGGATGAGTTGCATTTTATTTTGTGTTATTTTGTATTTTAAAAAATGCTAACCTGGTTTAAAAAAAAGTTCTACTTCGACACAGCTGTGCTACGTGGTTCTGCTAACAAAATTCAAAATGATCCATACAGTTATCTCTATAAATTGGTTCTCTCGGGACTATGATACTTTTCTCGTTACTGAAGCGTTTTTTAAAAAAAAAAGACTTGGAAGTGCTACATCCATTCTGTAGTGTGAGTATTCATACTCCAACATATCCTATTCCATATAAGTATTGTACTAAGAATTTTTGGAAGTGTTAGATAGAAAGCAATCATGTATTTTGGAATGCATAACATCAATTTTAGTACTCCATTCCAAAGTTTTGTCAGACTGACATCTGCGTGATACAAACCAACCATCAGTGATTTATTACAAATCAGATTTTACGAGACATCAAAATGCCAGTCAAGTATCGAAGTGATGACTTGGAGTATGTCCTTCTATTAGAAATCTCTAAATGTGAGGTAACCTCAAAAAATAGCAAGTGTCAAGTTGAGACGGTTTTAAGCTTTTTTTTTAAATGGCAACAGTGGCTTTATAGCACTACATTTTTTTTCAAATAAATAATCTGGCCCAAAAATACACTACTGTAGTTAAATGCTTTAAAAGAAAAACTATTTTTATGATGAGACAATCTGTTACATAGCATTTTATTTGACAAGCGAGGAGAGAGGAGCAAATATACCCAATTGTGAAGACAAAACACTGGAGCTAGGAACTATATATTCAGTCAGTTTATCATAGATTGTATTATCTTCCAAATCTGTATGACATGGCAACATTTTCAAATCTCTTATAGCTATCTTTATAGAATTTTAACCACAAAGCTATCTTACTTATATTGCCAAATGTAGAAAGCTTAACGGAGTTGAATTTTGAATGTAAGCTTTTCATAAACAGCTTTTTGGGAAAAACGGAAGGTATACCACTTAAAGAAATCCTTTGTAATTTAAGCTTGATGCTTCAATAAATCTAAGCCACCCGTTATTCTTATTCTCACTTTAGAAAAGCAGCTTTTCTTGATGTAAGCCATACCAAAGCACTTGCTGGATGTTGAAGTAACACTAACACTGAACCTGCTTAACACCAAAGGTTCAATTAAATCATGGGAATTCTGTGTTATATATTACTCTGTATGTTAATGGTGAGAATTCCATATGCCAAGAAAGTGATAAAGTTCAGCCAAATATATATATATAATATATACATATACTGTTATTCCAATTTGTCCAAAACATGTATTTTTTAAAAAGGTTTAAGTTGTACAATTAAACGCCAAACCAATGGTGATGCTTTGCAACATTTCCTTTGCTTGTGTGATGCCGACCTAATGCCTGGAGGACATGAGCACTTGTCTGTTTCTCACACTATTGTTAAAAGAGCTCCTGCAACACACAGCCAGTGGGGTGACACTTTTGATTTCCTGTTAAATTTTCTAACCATATAAGAATCAATTTACAATTCTGTTTAGTGGTGCTCTCCACTCATAACATAGCCTCTCGGTAGCTATTCAGCCCAATAAATAATTAGATCAGAATCCCCATCTATCTACATTTTAACTGGAAGATTCTCACTGGTTGCAGATTTTTTTTTAAAATTAATAATTAAATGTTGGCAATTTAATCCAGTAATTTTAAGCAGCATAATTTACCTATACACTATGACTGCAAGTTATAATGTAGACTTAATGAATAATAAAAAAAATTCTCTGCCATAACAGTTTTTCTTTAAAAAGAATAAAAAGTATACGGTTAGGGCTCTGGCAATGACCCGATGCTTTTCTCATTCTATTCGAGTTAAAAATGAATGTACCTGTGTCTTTATTAGAGCTTCTGTTCGGGGTTTGAAAATATTGCCCATACTCCCTCTAGGAAGGTACTCACTCAGTCCACGGTCTTGCTTCCTATACTTTCTGGCTCCAAAGTTACTAAGCCTTAAACACTGTTACAAATTTGCTTGCAATCCATGTGTTCAAATTTTGTATCATAAATGATTGTTATGCAGAAAGTTTCTTAAGTAGCAATAGAATTTGGAGAAATTGATACTTAAGTTCTTTTGACCGCAGTATTATGCACGAACTGCCCATTAGAGATGTTTTCAGCAAGGAAATTATTGAATAGTTAATCAAGGTCTATTTTGTATTTAAAGCTAAGATATACTGGAATATTGTATCACTAAGGCTAAAATAAAAAGTATGTGTATTTTTAACCCCTCCCTCTTCTCATGTCCTTTGTTTTAGACAGCAAAGAGGAACTCTTGCTACTCTAATTAATAGTGTTTTTCTAATAGACTAATTGAAATCTATGAACAGTTCCTGAAAATGTTGTGCTCTGCTATTATAGTATGCTTCAGAATTATGTGAGTTGTTTTGGGATTAAAGTGTCTGCATTATTTTTACCACCTGTTCGATTACAAATACTTTCAAAGTCAGTATGTTATCTGTACAGATGTTCAGCTATTTAGAAAATGTATATACTGCTTGTTTGCTTTACACATATTAAAAAGAGGTTCACAGCTAGAGTACTGCTCTCACAGCTTTGTAAGTAGTAATGCACTTATTAGACTCTTGTGTAGTTTTCACCACGTAATGTAAGTAGATTCATTTGATGTACAAGTCCAAACATTTGTTTTTATTTGTGTACCTCCGGTCTGCTCCACGTCCCCCGTCCCAATCGCCCCACCATCGGTGGTCGGGCCTTCAGCCTCTCAGCCCCCAGGCTCTGGAACTCTATCCCCCAGTGCCTTCGCCGCTTCCTCCCTTTCCTCCTTCAAGGCCGGTCTCAAAACCTTTCTCTTTGACCGAGCCTTCAGCTCCCCTCTCGACTCTCTACCCCCTCCTCGCTCCCTCCCCTCCCCCTGACCATTTCCCCCCTGCTCGGGTCATGACCCAACTGTGCAGCGCCTTGGGACATCCTCCTGACGTGAAAGGCGCTTTATAAATGGAATCTTGTTGTTGTTATTGTTGTACCTTTTTATTTGATCCTAAATTGTAATATTAGATTGTGTTGACGAACAAGAAGGCTATTAAGGTCATTTTACCTGAAATGTATTATTGGAAGTATTCCCATTTTTTAAAAAGCATTAAATCTGTGGTACACTTAATGTTCCTAGTTGTATACCATTTACGGTAGTTTTGTTGCAAAGTAGTACTAAAATTCCCAAATGGAATAATTTGCCTTTTCATAATCAAAGATATGTATGAAATATTATTTTCCAGTAGAAAAAATAAACATCCCGGTTTACCAACTCAGACTGTTTGTGCAAATTATTAGTCTCGCTAACTTTAAAATTGCATTGAATATGATGCTAAAATTGTAAAGTCACCACTAATATTTACAGTATACTTGCCGTAAAGTATAATAGTCATAATACATGGGTATGAAAGAACAAATCCTCTAGATAACATCAGTCATTCACTTCATGGCTGTTTCTGAGACATTGCTGTGTGCAAATTGGATGCCGTGTTTGCCCACAAATACAGTCAATACATTTCCCAGTAAAATCTTATGAAGTGCTTTGAGATGATCTGATATGATAAGGTGCAATCTCAAATGCGAGGATTATTATTATTTAGTACGTCTATTGTACTACTGCTACTGGCTCTTCCATCAAAGCCCATCACCAATATGACTTACCACCTGTTTTACGGAGCTGCATTTATTGTGATGGTGTTTCTATTCTCAATATTCAAATTCTGTTGTTTTTAAAAGCTTTCATAACAACTATAATTTTTTTGTCTTTGTTTCCTCTTAGATATTTTAAGTTTCGCAGGAAATAAAATGCACTCGGCTATAGCCTCTACAATTTTTTTTTGCATTGTTTCCGGTTAAATATTTTTAAATTATGAGGAAATGCAGTTTTTCTTTAAATATTTTTAAACAGCTGTGTTGATTTGAATTTGCAGTATATATCAATATTAATTTCAGACAAAATATCAGGCATTTTGCTCCTGCTCTCTGGAACTCCATTCCCGAGGCTCTCTGCATTGCTCTCTTCATTCTTACCTTCAGAAACCATACAACTTTGACCACCTCCACCCACCCACCAAGTTGGAGGGAAATTGGAATCGGAGGAGGCAGCAAATGTCTTACAAAGAGAACTTAATTGGACATGGCTATCGGCTAATGATTGACAAATTAAGTTCAATACCAAGTATTATATATGAGTCCGTAGATGGTAGAGCGCTTGCCAAGGAAGAAGCTCAAAGAGATTTTGTTCTGCAACTCAAAACTGAGGTATCAATAAAAAGGAAAAACAGATGCTAGGTTATAGTCCTAAATCAGTTGATTTCAGATCCCTTTGGCAAATTAAGTATAATGTAAGAAATGTGATGTAATTCACTTATGTAATTCTCCAACTGGTTGATCATTGTCTTCTCACATATACTCCCTAAGGCCTAGAGGAAGGAGTGATATTTACTGCCTTTTAAAAAGTAAAGTTTATATTTTTATTTCAAGTTCCATGAAATACTTTGTGGTCTGGCTTCATTTTCAATTGAACTAACTGCGCAATTCTATCGCTCCATCCTCTTTTTGATCATGTACTAGAGGACCACCAACCGGTTGGAAACCCCTGGTCTAGATGGTGATAATAATAACCCTTGCATTTGATATAGTGCCTTCTCACATTGTTGAGACTTCTCAAAGCGCTTCACAGAACATATTGTGAAGTGGATTGACTGTGAATTTGGTGGGCGGCAGCCAATTGCGCACAGCAGTGTCCCACAAACAGTCTTGGATTGAGTGACCAAATTATTATTATTATTATTTGGTTTGAAGGGATCATTACCCCCCAGAAAAATACCTAAGAGGAATGGAGAAGCAAAGAGATCTGGAAATTCAGATCCACAAATCTCTAAAAGTAGCTGTAAAGGTAGATAAGGCTGTAGAAAAGCCCTCTTGGGCTTTATATCCAGAGGGATAGAATATAAAAGTGAGGAGGTGATGTTGAATTTGTACAACATTCAATATCACCTCTTAGACCACATTTAGATTATTGTATCCAATTCTGGTCTCCACATTTTAAGCAAGCTCTTTAGTGCTCTGGCCAAGCTTCACCTGGAGTAGTGCATGTGGTTTTGGATGTTGCAATATAAGGGCTGTCTATACCTTAGAGGTAGAGAAGAGCAACATGGACGATTCCCATTGTAGAAGAAATGAGCTATGAGGGTTAACTAGATAATCCAGTGCTCTTCAGCCTTGAAAAAAGAGGTTTCAGTGGACACTTAAAAGAGGTAAACGTGATTTTAAATAGGCTGAGAAAATAAACCGCCAAAATACTTTAGTATACAACAAGGTGTCAGAACAAGATGGCACAGGTTCAGGGTTGCAAACAGAAATGTACGAAACCTGCAACACATCAATCAGCATTTGGATGAAAATAAATGGGTTAATTTTTCATGTGGGAAGTGCATCTATTTTTCTTGTTCAAATCCTTATTGATCTGCTGTGGATTTCCACTATTTCTATTGTCCACCCAAACACTGCTTCTGATGACTGTTAGGCTAAAAGCAGCATAGGTTGACTGACTAAATAATATCCATGACAATAACAACAAGGTACAACAACAAGATTACATTTGTATAGCGCCTTTCACGTCGGGAGGACATCCCAAGGCGCTGGACAGAGTACAGCATTTCAGACCCGAGCTGCGGTGGGGGGAGGGGGTGGCCGATGGCATGGTTGAAGAGGAGGGTCTTGAGGCAGGTCTTGAAGGAGGCTAAGGAGGGGGGCGAGGTGGAGTGATTGGGGGATGGAATTCCAGAGGTTGGGGGCAGAGTGGCTGAAGGCTCTCCCGCCAATGGTGGGGCGGGTGGGTTGGGGAACGTGGAGCCGGCCAGAGCCGGTTGAGCAGAGGGAGCGGGTGGGTTGGTAGGGGGTTAGGAGGTCGCAGAGGTAGGGTGGGGCGAGTCCATGGAGGGCTTTGTATGTGAGGACCAGGATCTTGAACTGGATCCTCTGAAGGACAGGGAGCCAGTGGAGTCGGGCGAGAGTGGGGAGATGGGGTCACGGAGTTTGGTGCAGGAGAGGACATGGGCTGCAGAGTTCTGGATTATCTGCAGCCTGTGGAGGGAGGAGTTGGGAAGGCCAACAAGCAGGGCATTTGCATAGTCGAGCCTGGAGGTGATGAAGGCATGAACAAGAGTTTCAGTGGCCTGAGGGATGAGGTAGTGGTGGAGTCGGGTGATGTTATGGAGGTGAGGGAAGGCAGAGCGGGTCATGGCATTTGGGCTACACAGTAGCTGGTCATTTCCAAACTGTTGATGATATAAAACATGACTGAATAAAATTGATAGCCCCAAAATAAAAGCATAAGATTGTTTTCTAATTGAACCGACATTAACTAGATAAATACTTGAACTGTGAGTGTCACTACATTGTCTGAGCTGCACAGATTCTGCTGCTGGGTTTCCTCCCAGAGGGTTTTCACCAGTCAATTTTGGCATGTGAGCAGTATTGACATTTCCGTCCCTAAACCATCTGGCTAGAAATGATAACACTAATAAGGAGACACTTCTCACACTATTTTGTCTTAAAATTTAAGAGTGCACAGAATTATAGTAAATTCTTCAAGTCAGTCTAATTTGGACGCTGGTTCTTTTATGAACTGCAAGAAAACCAGCATTCAAATGTCACAATTTTCTACAATTCTACAAGTAATCTAAAATTTTAAGACAAAACACTCTTAGAAATATAGAAACAGGAGTAGGCTATTCAGCCATTTTACCTTAATTACCCTGACCTAACAAATATCCATCTTCTGCTGTCTTGAAAATTTGAATGGATCCAGCATCCAAAGTCTTTTGAGGGAGAGAGCTCCAGATTTCACTACCCTTTGGGTGAAAAACTGCTTCTTAATAATATCACCTTAATCTTGCCGGTTAAGGTGATATTTTCAGCCTTTCAATGAGGACATTTGGCCCATCAAGCCTTTGTTTGCACATCACTGGAGTAAACGACTCAATGCCTGGAAGAGTAAAGTATAAGTATCATGTGATATTGTGCAAAGTATAAGGTGATCCATTAAACCTGACCTTGTTGAGCTTCGGTTCACTTAGAGTGCAGACCAGCTATATTGGAAGTACAGTAAACATGGGTTACAGTGCTGACTATAGGGCTTCCCACACTACAAATTTGCTGCCTTGGGTTGTCAGTCGCCGCTGACAATCCAAGGCATGAAGGAAAGCGTGAAGGAAATGATGCCAGCGACCCT